ATTTTCAGCAAAAGTCCATCTAGACTCTTCTGAAATAGCTTTATTTTGATACCAAACGATTCCTCGTGAAATTCTGCATCTAGTAAACTATGAATCAACTAAAATTGATGAGGGCCCAAAAATGACCCTTATACGCCCCGTCCTTTGGTTTTCTGAATATAGATCTCTTCTGGTACAACTGCAACAAACCATTTCGCTAATCCTTTTGTTCATAAAATGAAGTATGTTCGACAAATTTATTTAGTATAGTAAATCTTAATACTGACATACATTGATGCTTAATTGATGATTTTCTTCATTGTTCGGTTTTCTTTAATGAAGCTGATCTTAGTTTGAAATAGGTACTATAAAAAACAAGTAAAAGCAATCAATCCAGTAGTAATATTATTTATAAAACCCACATGTCGAACAGGAACTTTTATCAATCGCGAACATTTGAATACGATCACCGCCACCGTCGGCAACGTACAAATTTCCGTGGCGATCGAGTGCTAAATCATAGTGAGCTACTTCCATGCCATCAACCAACCCACCGATGATGATACTTCCATTTCCTATACCTTTGAACCAACGTATGACTCCACGATCTCCATACTCAAGAATATAAACTGTACCCATTTTGTCAACGAACACTGAACTAGGTGACTGGACCTGATCCATCGGATCTTCTGATCCACCAGCCACAAGAGTGCCTTCTTTAGCACCGAGTGGCCATTTCACTACACGACCACTTAAAATATCGGCTACAAAAACTGTTTGATTCTGATCGACGAAAATATGCCATGGGCTCTCAAGTTGATTTAAAGCAGTTCCTTGACCATTTTTACCAGCGACTGTCTGACCACTGGGCCATTTTATTACTCTATATCTGTCTAAGTCAGAAATGTACAAGGATCCTTCGTTGTCCATTGCCAGTCCAAAACAATTAATATCCGAAATGATTGTTTGCCCTTGATTATCATCCTTAAACCATTGCTGCACTCGTCGGTTCTGATAATCACATATAAACATCGTCCCATTCTTATCGACAACAACACTTGACACAGCATTTAGCTGATCACTTCGATCGCCTTGTTCATTACCACCGGCTACGACAACGACATTCGAAGTTCCAGGCATCAACTTGATCACTCGATGATTGTAGGTATCTGCAACATAAATGACATCATTATCATCTATAAACAATCCATAGGGGATAACGAGTTGATTCAGTTCAGATCCCTGGCCATTTCCTCCAGCCACAGTAACACCTTTTTGATTCCACGTCGCACTCTCACAAATGTCAGCGTGAGGTAACGGTGTTGGAAGAGAACCTAGACGTTGGAAAGAAGAATATTACATATTTCCTATTTTCACTGCTTACTTGCACTTGTTGTTATCGATGATACTGGTGGACATATAGTTCCACCAACCATATTTATTGGATAGCACAATGAATGATTTTGGCATTGCGTATGTTTTACACATACATGGTTAGGTTCCAAACAGGTTCGATTATTGGTATTACACGAGATAAATTCTGAGCAGGGAAGATGAAGATAAGCACAAATAGCATCAGTGTTAGTATCTGCCAGATGAAGACAGCCACAGGTAGGATTTATCGAGCATTGGTCATATTGAAGGGCATTTTGACATATCTGAGCTTCGACTTGACCTACTTAAGAGAAGATTTTCTAGACGCTCGATCAATTTTCCGAGCAAATGTGAGAAAATTTTCCAAATTTCAAATTTTATCTGTTCTGAAAGAGGTGTCTCTAAAAGAATATTTTAACTTCACAACATTAGTCTCGTAATGTTGTGCCTTGAGAATGGACTCGTAGATGTCGTTCGTGTGAAATAAATAAATTTAAAATCGGAAAATTTGCTCTCCATAGTTCGATCGGTTTTATGATGAATTTTCTTCTTAGCATGAGAAGGTAGACAGATAAATATGTAGAGAATACAAAACATACCTAAAAGTCTAAAAATTGTAACAACATTCTGTCATTCCAAGATCATTAGAGAATGTCACTTACAGAAGTATTATCAACACCAAGACATACATTGCACGCATTATTTTGATTTATTCTTCTCTCTCTCTATTCCTCTTCTTTACTCTATCTTGCATTGATCCATTATGGGATCGAGAACATATGTCACATATAATGATTCAAAAAATATAAGCGATCGTAAATATGAGAAATGGTAGCAGCCGGAGGTCTTCCTAAGAAAGAGAGAACCGATTTCTTGAAAAATGATCGAAATCATTGATTTTCAGCGGAATTGAGCAAGTCGTATGATCTAATTATTCAAAGAAAGAAAAACGCGACTCTTGGGATCGTCGACTCATAGTATATTCTCAAAGTTCTATATAACAATGTCAATGATGCAATAAAGTCTCAGTATATGGCTAGATTTAATCGAACACATAAAATTTCTTCAAAACAATTGTGACAAAAGTACAAAAGTTGCGTAACGGTGGTACAGGTAATTAAATTTTATTGAAAAACTCGTTTAATGATTTTTTACGAACTCAATATATCAATCAGTTGATTTCTTTGTATACGTTGAATGATATTTGTAAGGTCATACGAGAGCATGCAAATGCATATATAACATTAATATATCTGAATTTATCGCCGTCATCTAAACGAGCATATCAAAGAATCTATTATTGTGGAGCGGGTATGTCAATAGGCGATATTAGTCGATCTTATTATGCCGTGAAAACACCAAATAGCGTCATTGAACTAAGGAACTTCTCATCAACATCCAAAGATAAAAAACCCTCATTAATATATTTGGATTTTGGTGCACCATGTCTTGATAATTTGTATAGCATTTGACTCATATTCGCATTTTCAAATCCGTGTAATACGGCTATTGATTTGTCGTGAGTGTCATATTGTTTACCATCTATATCACAATATCAACATGAAGAAGTCTTAATATTATCGTATACGTTATTTAAAGTAGTGAAAGTGACGCAACAAGTCGGCAACAAACTTTTTTTCAATTTATTTACAAAATTTGACTGTATCTGAACAATCTCTTATCAGTTTCTCAAGAATAAAGCCAGGAAATGTCAAATAGAAACAGATTCCAAAAAAAAATGATTTGACTCTTTACACTTAAGTTTTTGCTTGTTCTGTATTTTTTGAGAATAAATCTTGAGTATGAAGCACCATAATATTTCAAAGGAGTTTAAACAGTATAATCAATCAAGAACGAATCTTGATCCTTTTGTTGAATATTTGTATCAATGTTGGCTTTTGTTTAGTTCAATGGAGCTTGCCATCCGATCAGCATTTAATGGATTATAAAATAAATCCTTGTATTCAATATTATTGTATTGTCTGTTTGATTAGATGATGCAGATAGAAATTTTTGTGGTTATATGCTAATACGAAATATACAGATCTTTATCTGCATGTTTTTATATACACAAGAAAAGGTTTTGTATGTATAGATGGTTATTGACATAAAGACTCAAATTCGTCGTACCTAAACTGTTTGAGTTTAGTACATGAGTGATAAAAATGCACCTCGGATTCCCCTACCACGAAGCACATGAAAAGGCCTGAAAAGCGTTGCAAAGGAAGTAGTCACTTAGCTTGAGATGGATGAATATGGGTCTTATTTTCACCTCACACCCTCACCCTCTAAGTAAACAAAACTTTCTTTGATTGATGAAGTGGAAAAAATGAATCCAATATGACAAAAAAATGATTTTCTTCGTAGCATCGAAAATTACACTTGCCGAGTTTGGTGCATTTTGAAAGCACAAATTGCATACATAAAACAAACTATTCTTTGCAAATTGTAGAGACTATCATCCTGCATCTTGCAGTAGATTTTGTATTTTTTAAATAAAATGTATTATGTGATAAAAAGATGAAAGATGAAAAAAATGACCTTTTCCCAACGTCGAAAATTGATCGCTCAGAATGCGGCTCATTTTGAAATCAAAAAGTGCACAATTAAAATAATCTTTAGGGTGTACATTGTACTCTCTAAAAAAAAGGAGTTTTGCAGAACCCCCCGAAAAGGTTCTGTAGATTTCTAAAAGCATCCAAATGTGTCGAAAGTCTCAAAAAAAGGGTAAAAAATTCGACAGAACCTTTTGGAGGTTCTGCGGAGTACCCACTAGCAGAACCATCTCTTACGAAACCTTTTTTTAGGTTCTGTACAGCAAAAAAAGGTTTCGTGAGCAAATACGAAACCTTGAGGGTTCAGTACAAAACCATTAACCTTTGGTACGAAACCCTAATGGTTTTGTACTGAACCCTGAAGGTTTCGTATTTGCTCAC